AGACTACATTTGACAACCTTTTTTCTTTCAGTTCAGGTTCTTGTCTCTCACACAGAGAGTAATTTTTACATAAAACAAGGAAAGAAAAATTCAGAAGTGGCTTTGGTGTGTCCATGAAAAAGAGCAGTCAACATGGAACATTTTAAGGCTGTTCCGAAAGCTACTTTAAAGCAATGGGGGGGGGGGGGCTTAAATGCTGTGGCCTTTCTCGGAGTCACAGCATATTTGCAATCATAGGCACAGTAAGGAAAACAGCAAATGAAATCCACAGCTCAGGGTAGCAGGCAAGTATTCTTCATGAACGTCTATTCTAAGTAGTTGATTGTAGAGATAAATTTGATCCGGTGCAAGCCGTGAGCACAGTCTAGCGCTCAGCAACTGCAACTCAATCTACTTGCAACTATTTCAGATGCTACTGGGATTAGAAGGTGGACATGGTGCTTGAAACCAAGTTTATAGACTGGGATCTCCCCCCACCACCTTCCGGCAAGCAATATAAACCAGAACGTTGTTTAAGACACTCTTGGAGACCTAGTATAATTTTATATTAAATCTTAACTGTGCACCTACTGTTGGGGTAGCTTGGAAATTATATAATAATAGGTACGAGAAAGTTCTAGGTTGAAAAGAAAGTCTTCCTTACCTGTCGGTGGATTTTAAGCGGGGCAATTATATTGTTAAAAGAAAACACGATCCAGAACTGAGCCAAACCATCCCCAAGTTTCCTATTCCCGGCCTGCCGCTGGCTGTACCCTTTACAAGTGAAACAACGGAATAAGCTACTGCCTCTCTTTTGAGGACGACCCATGTGATTTTTAATACCGGCTCGCCTGTCTCCGCCCACGGGGGCCTCCCTAGACCAATGACAATTGAGGGGCTGGCTCTGCAAAGGCAGGGACGGAGTTGCGGCGGTTGCGCTCCGGGAATCTTGGAGAGGGGAGCGAGGAGGTCGGAGCTGGTCCTTTTTATGTACAGGAGACGGAAGGAATCAAACAAAAGTAAAAGCAGTCCCAATTGATCCGGGGCCGACCACGATGCCCAGCCGGTCCAGCGCCGATCTGCGCGTCCACCAGCCGCCGAGACCTGCTGCGAACCTGCAGGAAGCTGTTGCACTGACCCCGGGGAAGTGTCCGATGGAGGCACGCTTCACCTGCGCCGCCACCGGCTGGGAGGGGATGGGGATGGGGATGGGGATGGTGGGGGGGCGGGGCGGGGGAGAAGACTCGCTGTCCTGCGTTCTGCCTTTCCCGAACGCTCCCGGAGGGCTCGCCGGCTTTCCTGCCCTCGATTCCTGGGACCGCGAAGGACTGCAAGCTATGGCGCCGCCGGCGTTGGCTAAGCAGGCGGCTGGCTGTGGACGCCGTGGCCATCTGCGCCGCGGTCTCTCTTTCAGCAGGGAGCGCCAGAAGATACGTCGGGGGGGGGGGGGGGGGAGCGCAGCGTCAGGGGCGGTGGCAGAGAAAGGAAAGGCGGCATGGAGGAAAAGCGTTGCGCGACCGGGCTCGCCATGCTCGCGCTTGTTGCTTCCCTCTCCGGAGGCAGGGCCCTCTGCTCAGGGCGCGGAGCCTTCCCGTCGGACTGGGGGACAACTCGCACTAGCGGCGCGAGTCGAAGCTTTGAAGGAGGCGGTGCGAGACAAGGGAGGGGAAGCGATCGCTGGGGCGGGCGCGGGGGCTCCCCGGTGAGTCGGTGGCTGCAGGAAGGTTCCCCGGTGCCCTTTTCCCCGGCTGCTCCCGAAAGACACCAAGCCATTGCCAGGACAAAAGGAGATGTACGGAAAGGAATGAAAAGAATGCCCACTGGAGGAAAAAAGGATATGCCTGAAGGGCCTTTGGATCTAGTGAGAGTCGGGAATGCTAATTGACTTGCATGGGCTCCATTGAAAAACATTACAGGACATAAAAATCTCAAACGGATTTTGAGAAACCTGCACTGGGCATGGAATAAATCCCCAGATTAGGATGATGGTCCCTGGGCCATGATAAACTGCTCTGGGACTGGAATGAGAGCCCCCACAGTGGAATGATCGCTCCTGGGGTGGAAGGACAGGCCCCAGAGTGGAACAACAGCCCCTGGGTGTGGAATCATTGCTCTGGGACTGTCATGATAGCTGCCAAAGTAAAATGGGAGGCCCCAGAAGTAGCCGAAATGTTCTGGGACTAGACTGACAGGCCACAGAGTAAAGTAATCGACCCTGGGACTATATAAGCTGCTCCGGTGCTAAAATGAAAGCCCCAGAGTGGAATAAGGTCCCCTAGGCCCAGATAAACTATTTTGGGACTGGAATGGCAGGTTCCAGAATTGAATGATTGCCCCTGAGAGTAGCATTTGTTCTGGGACTGGAATGATACTCCCCCCCCACCCCGGAAAAACCATCCCTGAGACCAGAAAAAAACCTACTCTGGGACTGGAATGAAATGACACTCCCTGAAAATGGCATACGTGTTCTGGGACTGGAAAGACAGCCCTTGGAGAGGAAAGACCATCCCTTGTACCAGAAAAACTGCTCTGGGCCTGGAATGACAAGCCCCCAGGGAGAGAGAAGAGAGAGAGATTGGATTTATACCCCGCCCTTCACTACCAAAGGGAGTCTCAGAGCGGTTTACGAACTCCTTTCCCTTCCTCTCCCCACAACAGACACCCTGTGAGCACTGTTCCCTCTAAGCTGAGTTAGTGTGAGCTAGCTCACAGTTTTTTAGCCTCTGGATCACACATTTTTGTCTTAGCTCAGGAAACGTGGCCCCAGAGCAAGCTAATTTATGCAGCAGGCAAATCGCTCGCTCACAACTTTAATGCCAGTTGCTCACAAAGTAGAATTTTTGCTCACAAGACTCCACAGCTTAGAGGGAACATTGCGTGAGGTAGGTGGGGCTGAGAGAGCTCTGACAGAAACTGCTCTTTTTTCAAGAACAGCTCTTATCAGAACTATGGCTCATCCAAGGTCATCCAGCAGGTGCAAGTGGGGGAGTGGGGAATCAAACCCGGTTCTCCCAGATTAGAGTCCGCACACTTTAACTGTACACCAAGCTGCCTGGGAAGAATGATGGCCCCTGGGACCATATAAATGCAGACTGAAATGAAGCCCCCAGAGTGCAACTGCAGTCCCTGGACTCAGATAAATGTTTGGGGACTGAAATGACAGCCCCCAGAATGGACTGATGGTCTCTGGGTCCAAATAAACTGCTTGGACTGAAATAATGCCCCCCAGAGAGGAATGGCAGCCCTGGGAGTACTCTGAGACTGGAATTATAGCCCCCAGCATGGAAGGGTGGTCCTTACGAGTGGCTTTGTATTCTGGAACTGGAGTGACACCACCCACTGTGGAATAACAGTTCCTGGAACTAGCATACAAATTCTAGTATGGGAATGAAAACCCCTAGAGCAGAACTAAGTTTGAGTCTAGTGGCACCTTTAAGACTCAAACTTTGTTCTGCTGCTCCAGACCAACATGGCTACCCACCTGAACCCTTAGAGTGGAATGACAGTCCTTGGCCCCAGATAAAGTGGTCATGGATAGGAATTATTGGCCCCAGACTAGAATGACAGCCCTGGGTGTAGCATAAGTATTCTGGGACTGGAGTGACAGCCCCCATAGTGTAATGATAGTCCCAGAGACCATGTAAATTGCTCTGGGATAGAAATGAAAGACCTGGTGTTGAATGAAGGCCCTGGGCCCAGATAACTATTTTGAGACTTGAATGACAGCCCTCAAAGTGGAGTGACAGCCCTTGGGGGTAGTATAAGAGGTATGGGACTGGAATGACAGCACCCAGAGTGAGAAGATGGACCCTGGATCCACATAGGCCGTGGTCACACGGTCATTTTGATTGGGTTTCACCGCTGTTCCCTCTCGCATTTAAAATTGCTGATCAGACACCCAAATCCGTCTCCCGCACTGAAGTGGGCTCACTCACGCAATCCTCCCAGTTCCCTCGTGAGTTTTCTGACACCAGGAAAATCAAGTACTTTCTGGGTATTTGCGCTTTTGAATACACGATTTCGCCTATCTGGACAGCCATCTCTTGCAATGATTGTGATTAGGTCATCTGACCGTCCTTCACACGATGAGGTTTTTCCCCCTAGCTTTTGTGCATGTGAGCAATGCTGTGCTGAATAAATGCAATGTTTAAACGTTCAAGCACTCATAATAGACTCCAGTGCTTGGTAGTATGTCGCCGGTTCCTTTTGTTCGCTGGTGGGAGGGGCCTGTAAATAAAATGAAGTATGGCGAGTCCAAGTGGGGCGTTGATTCAGCTGTGTGCATATGCGCAAAGCAATTTTTTAAAAAACAACAACTGTGCTGCACCGCCCAAGCGGCAGCACAGCTATCTAGATGGTGCCCAGAGCCTTGTCATGCAATGCCTGTGATCATCCCAACCCGAAAAAAATATTCTGATCAAATCTGTAGCGGGAACAAATATGACAGCCCCCAAACTGGAATGAAGGCCCCTGGACACAGAAAACTGCTCTGAGACAGAATGACAGCCTCTGGAATTGAATGGCAGTTCCTGAGACCATATAAACTGCTTTGGTACTAAAATGACAGCATAAATGTTCTTGTACTGGGATGACAGTGCTCAGAGTAGAAAGATGATTCCTAGGAATGGCATAATTTTTCTGAGACTGGAACGACAGCCTCTAAAGTACAATGATGATCCCTGGGACCTTATAAACTGCCCTGGGATTGAAAGGAAGGCTCCCAGACTGAAATTAAGTCCCTTTGCACATATAAACTACTCTTGGACTGAAATGACTCCCCACCCCCCACAGCAGCAATTGTGGCAGCAATGCCCCCAGCCGCCCTGCTTCCCCTCATCCAGAGCAGCGGTAGCTCTCCAGGAATCATGACAGATCTCTCAACTACTGAGATCAGTTTCTCTTAGTGTTGCCAGTTCCAGCTTGGGAAATTCCTGGAGATTTGAGGGGTGGAGCCTTGGGAGGGTGGTGTTTAGAAGGTTCCCTCTCCCGGCCTTCGACGGGGTGCCTTTTGTGCCGGCGCCGAGGGTTAGGAGTTTGGGGGTGCTCCTGGACTCCTCTTTAACGATGGAGGCCCAGGTAACAGCCACTGTCAAGTCAGCCTTCTACCATCTGCAGCTGGCACCGCAGTTGGCTCTCTACTATGACCACGATGACTTGGCCACAGTGATCCATGCGACAGTCACCTCGAGGTTAGACTACTGCAATGCTCTCTACATGGGGCTCCCTTTGTCGCAGATCCGGAAGCTGCAGCTGGTGCAGAATGCAGCAGCCAGGCTGTTGATGGGTCTCTCTAGGCGGGATCACGTCCAGCCTGGCTACCAATAGTGTACCGGGTCCGCTTCAAAGTGCTGGTTCTTACCTATAAAGCCCTACACGGCCAGGGTCCAGCTTACCTAAGGGACCGCCTTTCCCCATATGTTCCCCCAAGGGCACTACGGTCTGGGGCAAAACATCTTTTGGTCGTCCCAGCCCCTAGAGATGTTAAATATGCTGCGACTAGGGCCAGGGCTTTTTCAGTGGTGGCTCCTATCTGGTGGAACGAGCTCCCGGAGGAGATCAGGGCCCTGCGGGACCTTATGCAGTTCCACAGGGCCTGCAAGACGGAGCTCTTCCGCCAGGCTTTTGAGTAGGAGTCGCCACCGTCACTGTACCACCACCGCATTGCCATTTTCGTGACGTGAACTGGCCTTGGGAATGGAGAACAGAGTGAAGACTGATCAAGAAGAGACAGTATTGCATTGGAGTCCCCGTCTCGGATGATATATTGTTGTGAGCACCGATTTTAAATGTAAAATGTA